TTCTGTCTATACAAAATGTTTTGATCTCAAGCTTGGGATATCCTACGGTTCTCCAATGTTAAATGGTACTGGCCTAGTGATTGTAAAACAAAATATCATACGATGAAATATTCAAAAATATTATGTTTCTATTTTATTGTTTGTGTTTAAATCCCATCCGACAGTTAGATACATGTGTCTCATATGGATATACGTACAAGAACCTTTGCAGTGCATGCACCCGTAATTGGTCTTTTGATAGGCAAAATGTCTGCCATTTCCAACATATCCCTGTTTCCATCCACAATGTTCCGTCCTTCATCGATATCAATCCACTTGCCGAACCTTCCTCATGTTCCTATTTAATTTGTTATTTAACTACTGAAATATGCCTGTTAAAACTTAAGAGATTCTTTATATGACATATTTTAGAATTGGGCAATTTGAATATGTATTTTTGTTGTCCATATATGTTACTCATGGGTTAGAGTTGTTTTTATTATTTCGTTAATAGAGATTTACTGCTGAGGATTGAAGGCTCCAAACCTATTCCAATCCATACCATGTTTATGTTTATGTCACGATGCGGGTAGAAACTTAGTCAGTGGTTGTCCATAGTTTTATATTGAATATTTTATCCTTCAAACCCTTGATGGTCTCTCTTGTATCTAATCGTAATGTTTCTACAATTGTGCTATTTAGATACGATTTGTTTTATTATACGCTTGTCAGTTTTTGAAGACACAAATTTATCTCTTTTGAGAGTTGCGTTGATTGTTGTTTTTTATTGTCGCGTATCCGGTCTTATCTTTTTATATCCATAGGGAATATTACAAACTTGGTGTTAAGCAAACGCCAAGCGCTCAACATGTTGTGTGTCGACATTGTCCTTGGTAATATGCAATAAGAAAAGACAATGCGTTTTAGTGTTAATTACAGACAAATTAACACAGTCACAGTAAATCTTTACAATGCAATTATTACTCGATTGTCTGGATTCATCTGGTATTCCACTTTAGATCTCTAATCTGGATATTGGCAGGTAGAATTGAACCCGCAAATCAGCAAACATTTGCTTTAGCAACAAGATCCGGACAGTACTAGTTCAAAGTAATGCTTTTTGTATTGACGGTGATCCGGCAACGTTTAAAGTTAATGGATACGGTGTTGCTTGGTTTGCAACGGGATGCTTGTCTCATATACCTAGATGATATATAATAGTTCTTCGATGATCATTCGTTGACATGACTACAAACTCTCTAACCCCCAAGGGTGACTGGGAAATAGAAATTTGGTAACTACAATTCTTCTTCCGACCGGCAGTAAAATCTTTGTCAAAGTGGGGCGTCTATTTGCCTGTGCGGGATATACAATTACACAACCACTTCAAGTTAAAATGTGGCCTTTAAAATCCGATGCCTCGTGTAATGAGAGTGCCACGCTTTCTGCACGTTAAGAACCCTTGCAACAACTCTTTGAGTTGTCCGTAGGTGGCCTGTTGCAAGGCAAAATATGTGTCCCTATCCAATTTATCATCATTTTCCAGTGGTAGTACAAATTTCGCCGACTGTCATCCCGTACGGCCTCTATTGCAGGATCTATCTATGGTATTTATTGTTAATTTGTTCTCGTCATGCACATGCATGAAAGTTTTGCCTTCTAAAATCAACCATTTGCAGCTATATTTAAAATGAAGGCTATAAAATGTGAAATTTGCTAAAAAGATTTAATTGTGATACTCTTTTTCTCAGACAGGAAAAGATACGGATCCAGAGATAATGTAAACAATTGAATTTTTTTTTCCAAAACATATTAAAGAGCCTCGCTCATGCTTCAAATTTTGCCGCTATTTAAGAATAGCCATACAAAACTTTTCAGTATTCTCAAAACTCTTGCATAGAATGAAATAAACGGGGAGACAATATGTATGAAATGGACAATATCAGGAGACATTTGCATGTTTAAATCACGACAATCGTCCTCATCAGCATTTGCCTATCCTGACTTTACTTAAACATTTATACTTCATACATATACAAGTAATTATGCCATTAGAACGATGCTGTCACATGATAAATATAGGAACGAAAGACCAATTGGTTTAACAAATAGCACTTTAATAAAACAAGAAGGCAGATATCATTTGACACGAAAAGACCTATTTGCATTAGTTCGCTTCACAAAAAAAATCAAGCATGACCTGTATGGTAAACAGTTTATTGGCCGTACTGAACACAGTTTTCTTACGAGGCTGTTTAATTTCAAGTAACCAAAGGGACAAATAAAGATTTTTAAAAAAAAGTTCATTCGATGGAAAACAAATAGCCCATAGACCTTGGAAAGCAAAACCTTAGTTGCATTCCAAGTAAAATATGCATATTTTGACTAAACGTTAGATAGGGTACACAAACTGATTAAAACAACTCCGTACTTAGTGAGGTCAAGCAATATAAGTTTTATGGAAAAGCAAAAAGAGGACGAAGATTTAAAGATTGGCCAGGTATTGAAAGAGTTGAAAAAGAAACCAGTCTTTACAAAAATCGTGCTGACTCCTTGGGTTCAATTTGAATCTATGGTCATACATAATGAAATACATTATCGTCAAAAGATTGACATGAAAGTGGTATTACCTAAAATCTTACTAAAATGTGAGAGAAAAATGTTTTTAACCAGTATCAAGACAATCGCCCTTCGTGTCATTTAGGGATAAGAAGACTCTAGCAAAAGTTAGAAATGGCCAGGACTTCAGGCTGATGTGAAGCAAAACATCATAGTTGTACTCAATAATCAAAACGGAAGGCCCCGAATCCGACGAAAAACGGCCACATATGCAGATATTAGAGTCAAGTTTCGCGATGGAACGTTTTGCAATGGGAGTTCCTTGTGACTAACAAATGACCAGGAGTAGAAATATTCATATTTTAGTTATTTCAGATTATTATACAAAATGGACAGATGCGTTTCTCATGCCAAGCAAGGATGCACAAACCAGTGGCACAAACTGTAGTGAAACTTTTAGTTGATCGAGTAACTGTTCTATTTGAAACACCCTAAAAGAAATTGTCAATGAATGTGGTGGTTTTTAATAATCATTTGTAAGATGTTCCATTTTCGTACTTTTATTTTTTCACTATTTATGATAACTTTGTAATTCTCAGGTAACATTAAAAGTTTGTCTTAACCCTATCATTATTTGTTCTCGCTGTTTTGAACCACACATCTGACATTTTTGGCAAACTATTTTCTTTACATACAGGTTAGACGATACCATAGACATGATTACAAATCAAAAGAACGATAGACCACTCAATAAATGAAAACGGACAAGAAGACAAAGAACGGTCAACAATACTCTTCAAAGACTATTATGCTATACCTTCTGTAATTCGAATTTTCTCCCGATCTTTATTGTTCATTACTAGATTAGTGATCCCTTGATTGGTGCTCATGCATATTATAGAAGATTACAACAACTATAATTTTTGGTTCGTAAAGAAAATTAATCAAACGTTTTTTTTTTTCTCTCCCTCTCTTTCTTTCGGTTTACAAAGAAAACTAATCAACCATTAAACCGATACGGATGTATGTTAATCAACATGTTTACGGTTTGTTCTTTTCGTATATTGATCACGTACAATTCTAATTGGTTTTTTTTTTATAGCTCTATAAGAAATATATAAGAATTATTTCTTATAGAGCTATCCGATAGAATGATTCGTCAATTGAAAGCAATCTGTTAGTTAAATCATATGAAACTTGACAACATCTTTTCATTTCGAAAAACTCTAATATATTCACGTAATGCCGTCGACAATGAGTAATCGCCATGCCGTATAGTAAGCTATAAAAGGCATAAGTATGAAAACCTGTGAAACAATTAATTCAAAAGAAAAATAAAAACCAACGGTCTGATATATGTAAAACAATTAACATTAACGTAAATCAAACATATTATGACAGACAGCAATCAACATCAACTAAAGGCTCCCGAAAACAACATAATGAAAGTGGCGAGTTAAACATGTTTGTGAGAGTATGAATATTATTTACAGATGCTATGACATTTTTTATTAGTAGCTGCAACTATAGAAGACTGTCATCACTAACTCAAGTTCGTGACGAATTGTAATATGTAGTTATATCAAATTTGCGAATTCGGCTGTACATGTTTGGCAGCTTTTATTCCATAATTGTTTATGCTATAATGCCCTCATTACGTGCTCGACAATAAAACAATTGATGTTCGCTGTAAGGACCCTCATCAGTTTTCGGTTAACTTTTTACTTTTTTTTTTATTTTGTTACTTTACTTTTTAAAAACAACATAATCGAACTTGTTGAACGATATATATGTCACATTAGGTATAGTGTCCCGTTAGCTTTGTGTCTTTTTTTCGCGGGAATCGGTCCTTTTGTTTGAAGTACAGATATTTTTTTCGAATAAAATAACATGCGATCAAATCGATTTACTCAAATTTCGCAATTATATCGTTTTATTTCATGATCGTTTATTCCTATATAATTACATATATATAAGTTTTGAGCATAAACGACGCATAACATACTTCTATTCAACTTAAAATTTACCTTTTCATGGTCATTTTTTTTATTTTATCATCATGAAATATCTGTCCAAATAGCTCAAAATATGTTTTTCTTTTAGAGTTTATTATGTCAATATCTAATGACGTAAGTGGAAGGTTCACGCAGTTTTTGTGTCAACGGCTAAAAATGACATACATCAATTACGAATGAAAAGTTTGATGTTCAGTTCGACGAACGGACGGACAAGATTATTGTTGTGTATCCTCCACTCACAAAGTGGGTATAATAATAGTATGTGAAACCGTATGCTCAATTTTGTATTTCATAGATTTTAGAATTGTTTATTGAAAGTTCGGAATAATTCGGCCTTAAAAACTGTTGGGCTAGTTGATGTGCTGGTTATACAATTACGGTTCTTATGTTACTTTAATGTTTGATACAAGTACCAACAAGTAGGCATTTTACAAAAACCACACAAAATATAAAATAATTTATTTGTCTACAATATAAAACAAATGGAATTGTCTGACATGTATAATAACGAAATCACAGAAAAGAAAACTATTGCTAAAAATAATTCAAGTTACAGAATCAATTTCATGCCAATCAGACTACTACATTTAATGGTTCATTGTCACAGAACATGTTTATTTATGGCACATGGATACTCTGTAGTCTGTATTATGTGCAAATGAAGGTAAATTTTAAAAGTGCAAAATGAGTCATGTTTAGAAATTCCGTTCAGTACCCTTTTGCCTTAATATGCTACCAATATTGGCTAACTGTATGATTTTTGTCTTAAAGAAGTGTACACAGTCGTGGTAACATGCAGAACATCATAGAAATTCGTGGCATACGCAACAAATAAAAAAAGAAGATGTGGGTATACGTGAATGAAACAGGAACCGAGCGACATAAATGACCAAAGGATGCATATTAATACCTTACCATGATAACAGAAACAAATCCGAAGAAACGTGCAACTAGTACGACTTATTACTGTCAAGCTGTTGACTAAATACGATTTCATTCTGTTCCGTAGAACTGGAGAAGTGGGTTACTAAAATGCTTTAAAGGATTAGATAATAAACTTAAATCTACCAAGTATTGGCAAACCTGAATCACGTGTCTGACAGATCCGACATGTGAGCAAACGTTACAACTCGCAAATGCCAAGCTGCTGGCTAAATATGACTCCTTGAATTAAATGATTTTTTTTTCCTTTTACACTGATTTTTGTTATTACAATATTTACTGAATATTTCATATCTGGTGACTTTGGCAATGCCTAAAATAATTAAAAGGTAGAGAATTTCTGATGAGTTGAAATATTGTATCTTGACATATATTGCATTCTATACTGTTAACTATTTGATAATATATATTGTCCCTCGCAGAATATCAAATCACAAGCTCGCGCAATATGATATACTGCTCTTGACAATATTCCTCATTACAAGTGGAATAACCCTATAGTACAAAATTGTTATCTTTTAGGATTAAAGTACAAATCCTGAGCAGATAAAAAATGGTTATGTGTGGAGAATGACAAATGACTTTTAACATCGATAATCTTCTGATACAAATCATGACAAAGAATATTACGTAAGTCAATTAATAATGGTCTTTCGAACGAATTGATCCTTAAATGAATAAACCTTCGTGTAAGAAATGTATCCATATTTCTAAGAATTTCGGAGAGCAATTAATACAAAGAACCAGTACCAGTCATAAAACAACATGTTGTCTTATAAAATGTTTACAATGAACATATATCATAGAAAATAACTACATCAATTTCAAATGTTCATTTATTTGAAGCATAGATATTTGTCACCGTGTAACAAATTCATGTAAATAGATGGTTCGATTTATTTCATCGTGACATTAAACATTAAAACTGCATTTATACATTTTTATGGGAAATATCCCAGTTATATTATTTTCTAACAAGTGGTTTAAATTTTATAAATTACTTTGATTTGAAAAGAGATCTTTTTAGGCTTTTAGTTTAACAATTTTTACACACATCTGTACTTGCAAATTGTGAGAGATTTCTTAGAATAATATATGTAAATGAAGGTTAAGTTTAACGGAACTGAATAAATACTTTCAAAACCGTTTTCCTTATAAATGCTGCCTATATTTGTCTTTAAAAATAAGAAGATGTGGTAGGATTGCCAATGAGACAACTCTCCACAAAAGACTAAATTACACAATAATTAACAACTATAGGTCACTGCACGCCTTCAATAATGAGCAATTATAGTGCCTGTTTGTTTTGGATGTCGACTATATTTTCTTGTTCTGTTGATTATTCCAAAAAAGAAGGGTCTGCATTTTCTAATTTGATATCAAATGTTTAATTCTGTTATTTTTTGTCAAATTCAATTTAGAGTTAAATTGTAATTCAAAATGAATAAATACATGTTTAATGCTGTTCTACTTATTCATTCGAAATAGTCTCCACATTTTGTACACGTATACATTCTAAATAGTCTCCACTCTTTGTATACTATCTTATACATTCTAAAAAGTTTTCAATCTTTGTACACTATCTTATACATTCTAAAGAGTCTTCACTCTTTGTACACTATCTTATACATTCTAAAGAGTCTTCACTTTTCGTAAACTATCTTATACATTCTAAAGAGTCTTCACTCTTTGTACACTATCTTATACATTCAAAAGAATCTTCACTCTTTGTACACTATCTTATACATTCTAAAGAGTCTTCACTCTTTGTACACTATCTTATACATTCTAAAGAGTCTTCACTCTTTGTACACTATCTTATACATTCTAAAGAGTCTTCACTTTTTGTACACTATCTTATACGTTCTAAAGAGTCTTCACTCTTTGTACACTATCATATACATCCTAAAGAGTCTTCACTCTTTGTACACTATCTTATACATTCTAAAGAGTCTTCATTCTTTGTACACTATCTTATACATTCTAAAGAGTCTTCACTCTTTGTACACTATCTTATACATTCTAATGAGTCTTCATTCACTGTGCATAATTACCTTTGGCCTTTCACGTGTGTTCGTACCAGTGCTTATAAAACGACTTAAATGTTCAAACGTCTTTTGATTATACATGTAAGTACCAGAAAGGACATAAATCGGTATCTTTTTTTTCTTATTTCAAGAAAAAAATTACAAAAAAAAACCCATTTCTGTCTCCACTAAAATAGGTAGAAACATGTATGGTTTTTGACATGTCTTTAAGCACTATTCCAAAGATTAGGTGTAATAAGAATGCAAATAAAACATACATAGTACAATGTATACATGTACACTCCCTTTTAGCCTAAAAAACATACTTATTTCGTGCCTCCTGGTAGTGTAGGTAGGTAGGTAGGTAAAATATCTTTTTAACTTTTTATATAGACGTTACATGCATAGTGAAATATTCTGGTCTTTGTCGGTGCTTTACTAAAATTTTCCATAACGTTTGTAAGGGTAGAAGTGACAATTTAGGGGAGGTAGGGAGGCAGAAAACACAGCTACATTTTTTGGCCTCGATATTTATAAAATTCAATTCATAATAAGTTTTAGAGGGATACAAGTTAGTCTCCTAATACCCATTTGGTCTCTTTTACTCTACAAACACACTTCACAATCTGAATCAACTATTATGTTAGCATATACTCTCGAATACCATTTTTTACAAAGTCTCTAAATAACTGTTCGGAATGCTTCATCTTATACATTAAGGCATTAGAAACCGCATGTTCAGTGTCGGCAACTGTTATCATTTCAATAAAACGTCCAAGTGACGTTAATCCTCTTATGGCAGGATTTATATCTAAACCTGTAAATACAAGAATGTGAAATGTCATTCATTTATATAAAAAAATCAACATATCTTGCGTTATATGAGGCATGTTTATTTATTGCCTAAATACACATTTTACATCAACTCTTATTCTTTTTATTGAGTAGATTAAAATGATTTATTCACTGTAGATAAAAATGAATATCTGTTTAGAGAAAATATAAGTACTAGTATTAATCTAAACTTTTGTAAACTTAAGAAAAATAACAGCTCTGTCACTGAGATGAAATGAATATAAACAGCTGCTTGTTAAGGATATACATGTATATATGTATCAAAATTTAACGGTAAATTGCAAAGCAAGTCATGAAATGTAACTGCTATAAATGCAGGTGTTCAATAGAAACATTAAGTTTGTATTTTTTGTGTTTGTCAACATATAAAATAAATTGATGTGAAATAAGTTGTAAAAAATGATATGTACAGACTTCATTTCTGATACTGATTTTATAAAAATGATTTTTAAATTTGATGTCCTAGACGTATAACCTCCATGACCAATTTCTAAAGCTTGTGTTCACGAATTAAATCTCTTAACAGCGGCACTCAAATTGCTTTCCTTGGATTAAATACGTTTGCAAGTTATGGCAATACACAGAAGTCACCGAAACGTCATCAACCTAAACAATGTGGAATCTCATGAAATTTCGAAAGTCACTGTATGCATTAAAAATCAATATCTTATCATCAAATTGAAGCGTCGTCTAAGGAGTAATATGACTGGGATTTTGAAATATAGTGTCAGATGGAAGTTAGGTGACAAGCACGTAAGATCCATATTAGAAAATACACTCATCTGTCTAATTAGTTTAAGCATTACGTCACTGTAACGATCACCCAATACGTGGCAGCGAACGTATCACATTTGATGTGTAACAGTCAGTTGTTCTTTCTCATAATTCCAAAGTGTTAACTCTTTATAGAAACAACGTCAACTCGACGTCTCCCTTAATGGCAATATCGATACTAAATTGAATGTTAAAGAGAAGTGTATGTTTGGCTGTGTAGGATGTATAGATACGAGGTTTATTTCTGGGCGGAACGAGTGCGTTAAAAATACGAGGCCTCGTGAAAGGAGAGTGCTACGCTCTCTGTACGTTAAAAAATACCTAACAAAACCTCCTGGTCGAGCTACATTCCACAACATTTAACTACTGGGTTATGTTCGTTTGTATTCAAGCTGAATGTGCATAAACTTTTTTTCCAATGAAGGGGTAGCAATTAGCAATCAATCAATCTCTCTTTCTAATCATGTCGCCATAAGAAAATGCCCTAGTATGTCGTTCAAAACTGAAATTATGCCCATTTGTTTGGACATTTTCTTATATAGCTATAAGAAGATGTGGTATGAGTGCCAATGAGACAACTCTCCATCCAAGTCACAGTTTGTAAAAGTAAACCATTATATGTCAAAGTACGGCCTTCAACACGGAGCCTTGGCTCACACCGAACAGCAAGGGCCCCAAAAATTACTAGTGTAAAACCATTCAAACAGGAGTTATAATCCACTTTTTACTCTTTGATTTTTTAGTCTTGAAAAAACAACAACTTTACGACTTAAGAAAGAAATTGCCAGCTTAGTGTTTGTTCCGTAAAAGATAAAACTTGCTGTTCCTAATTGACTGGCACGTTCAAAAGTTAATTAAAGATCTACTTGTAAATACTTTTCTGTTGTGCCTTATACTAGAACCGAAGGGTGCATTATGAATACAATTGTAAAATGATAGGTTTAAAATTAATTTCATAGGTATCCAAGATTTTGTCGGTTTCACTTTGACTTCAGAGTTTTGATTCTTCTATTTGTATCTTCCGCCTCTGTTTACCACGTTCTGTGATTAATTGTAACACTATAATGAAATGTATAATAATTGAGTAATTTCTATTGCAGACCTTTTGCAATTAAAGGTTTATGTATCCTAGAAGACCGTAGCTCTTAACACATATTTCTAATGCTAATGATGTGAGGTTGTTATTGATCCATACCGCAACATCCCTAATTTTCGTATCTAAATCTTCTATAATCACCAATCAAAAAATAGAATAAATATGTCAATTAAACCTGATTATACCTAACATTATTATTGTCTTGTTTATTCGATCGAAGTGTCTTCTCACATCAACTAACGACTTAATAGCCATGAACACAATGGAAATGTTTAGTGCCAATATATGTTGTTTTCAGAGAACCAGAAAAACCTTCGTTATGATCCAATGTCGTTAATGTGAATTGCTGCAATAACTTGGCAGCAGACGCATAGCTTTAGTTGGTTAACGAACTACATACAAAGTTAGATTTTTTTTTAGTTCAATTAATGATCAATATGAACATCTAACAAGATTGATTCTAATTCAATTAGATTAAGTTTCAAATCTGAGATGTAGAAAGATGAATTATTTTGACCCTGATATTACATTTTTTTCAATCTTAATCTAATTAATTTCTAGCTTTCACGTTACCAGTTCTGTGGTTTTCCATTTTGTTATGTAACAAATATAATAGAAAGTTAATCTATTCCAAATCAGATATTTGCCTTGCCCATTTCTACCGTCAAAAGATTGATTTGTGTGTGCTGGTTTACCTACTTTTGCGCGAATTTGAGTTTCGACATGAAAAACGTTTGTGCGAACGAAATGGTATTTTAGTTCGCAAACATAATTATATCAAAAGCGTAACATGTCACTAGTAAACCAATTTTTATCTGAAACGGTCATTTTGACCTGAACAGCTCTTTAAAGACTGCACAACAAACTATTATGTTATTTTCAGTATTTCGGTAAATTTTCAGACTTTTCCAATGCAGTTAATTCAGTACTGTTCTGACATTCGCTTGCAGTAAATGAAGATATGTATAGTGTATTATCAGACTTTTTAGTACTTGTAATTCACATCAATAGCATACTGAATTGTCTGGTAAGCTTCTGAACAGTTCTAGATTGACTGTAAGGAAATTGTCTGAAAAATACTGAATATACCACAATAGATAAGTCTGAAAGTTGACTGAAAGAGTGAAGATGAATGAATAATTCATTTAGACTTTTCATAATGAACGCTTAAGACTAAAATTCATTTACAAGTAAATTCATAAATTAAAAACAATGTGTATTTCATGGAAAGGAAAATCCTGAACCTTCTAAGTATATACATGATAGTCTAGAGTAAAACAAGGTAAGTAAGTTCTCGACAGGAACAATCTATAAGTCAGTCCTTGCACGTCCTTGTCACCCAGTGGTTTGAGGTAAAATTTCTAAATTTGTTATATAGAGATCTACATTGTCTGTTTAATTAATTCGCATCAACGTAGTAATTTCAACAGGTAAATTTCGAGCAACCTAATGAGTTTTGTCGCGCAAACATGGAACGGTTTAAGCTCAAACGTAACGCGCCGGTGTGCTAAACGTTAATAAGCACATCTTTAATACTTATTCATGACATTAATTATCATATTGATATATTTTAATTATATTGTCTTTGTGTTTATTTTTCGTTTCATCTCTTCAAAAAATCGAATTGACATCTCTGTGTCAAGCAGACAAAGTAGCACATCACCAGCAGCGGATCCAAATTTCGCAGAAAGGAAGGCGTAGTTATCAAGAGCCGCAATGTGTAATTGATTTACGATTTTGTGCCAAAATATGATATTTGTTTTCTATCAAAGGGGTACGCCCTCTATGCCTCCACATGACATCGTCTCTGAATAAAAGAAAACATGCCTCCCTAATCGTTCACTTTTTTTCTCCCTGTTGACGAAATTTGCTTTTAATCCTTTAATCAATGTCACGCGCTTAGAAGTCATGCATCATGTCATATTTGTTGCTCAGTCTTTATTTTTCTATGTTGTGTTTTGTGTAATGTTGTTTGTCTGTTGTTTGTCTGTAGTTTTTTTTCTTTTTTTAGCCATTGCGTTGTCAGTTTATTTTCGACTTATGAGTTTGAATGCTCCTTTGGTGTTTTACGCCTCTCTTTTTGACCTATCCGAAATGGAAACCACAACCCCTTCATTTGGAAAGAACACGCTATAAGGAGATTTGCAATGTTTCTACTAAGAGAATTTGAATTTTTTGCTTGCCAGTGTGAATCTTGTCCTGACTTTAAATACTTAGATAGAAATTGACGATTAAATTTACAATTTATGAAAGTTAACTGTAGTTCTCCCCGGGTGTTTGAAATTATTAAATGGTTTCGGAAACAACCATAGATGAATATTTATTCTATGACTATTACACATAATAGTTTATCCGTAATGCCAAATGTCTTAATAAATTTACATTGTGTTTAATTTCTTGAGAAAGACAAACCGAACCCTTCGACAACTGTCGACGTTGTGCTATTTTTAGAATGGAATTAGATAATTTTTTTACGTATTTACATTCAGAATATAAATAATGTATGTGACATTGACGACAGTAGCACGTAGAAATTCAATTACTTTCAGGTCTGATTATAGCAGAGTAAAGAAGAAAATATAAATTGAAACCTAAATTTACACTTCTCACTAATTAAACTATATTTTCGTTGTCTATTTTCGGACCTGAAATAATTTTTTGTTGCAAATGAGCCGAATATATATTCAGCTCGTGATTAGGGTCTAATTAATTTTCATAAGAAGATAAAAAAAAATATGCTGCAGTGAAGTAATTTACCATACAAGATACATCAGAAATCAATAGGAAAGTGCAATTCAAAACACGAACTTGTGAAAACAGGCAGATTGAGAAAACTTTTTGAAAATTTAAAATGCAATGTTTTAATCAAATATCTAGTTTTAGCGATAGAACGAGAATTTGTACTCAACTTCAAGATTTTAACAAATCATTATCTATATGCATTGCTAACGGTTATAGACATGATTGCTATTTGTGAATCTGCAACACTTGACACGAAAACTTGTAATACTTCATGTATTCACATCTTACAACAATCACTTTTCTTTTGTGGCGTCAGATATTTTTTGGAATATACATGATGCCCAATAATGGTGGACAAGTATTAAAGAGATGAGGTCTATTACCATAACTAATTTTTTTAACTTCTGTTGTTGACAAATTATCTAAGACTACAGCTGTGCTTTTTCGTAGATATGAGATGTAAACATTCGTGTAAAAACAGCAACTTTCATTTATATAGAATCCCTTTAGTTATGTTCATAACAATTTATGCTTAGAAACCCAGATACTACGGCAAAGTTTGGGAGGAAGGATGTGCTTATCTTTAACGCAACGGAGATAATCCACTATTTTCTACATAAGGAAATGCCTGTACCAAGTGTGGAATATGACAGTTGTTTTCCATTCGTTTGATGTGTTTGAGCTTTTGGTTTTGTCATTTGATAAGGGACTTTCAGTTTTGAATTTTCCTTGTATTTCTTTTTTTTTTGTTATTTTATTTTTTACATGATTTCAATAAAGGTTAGGAACACTGGTGCTCGCAAACAATCGTTTATTTTCATATGTTGAAGACATAATTTTTCAATCAGTTTAATTGAGGTCTGGAGCTGGAATGTCAGTAACTGCTTGTAGTCCTTTGTTAATTTATATTGATTATTGTCATTTTGATTAGTTTCTTCTGTTACCTATTCTAACACTAGATTCGGACTTCTTTTAAACGGAATTTTACTGTGGGTATTGCTGTGTGTTTGTTTATTCCATATTGGCTAGAGGTATGGGAAGGGTTGAGATCTCACAAAACATGTTTAACCCCAGCAACATTTTTTGTCAGAAACCTCTGGCCTTTGTTAGTCTTGTATATTTTTTTTTAAATTTTGGTTCATTTATATGTTTCGGAGCGTAGTGTGACGTCCATTTTCGCTGAACTAGTATACATTATTTTTAGGGGCCAGCTGAAGCCCACCTCCGGGTGCAGGATTTTCTCGTTGTGTTGAAGACCCATTGGTGGCCTTGGGCTGTTTTCTGCTCTTTGGTCGAGTTGTTGTCTCTTTGACGCAATCCCCGTTTCTATTCTCAGTTTTATGGTATAATTTATACTGATTTATAATTTATAAGTTGTTCGTAACGATGCTTTTTATAAGATACGAATCTTTATTATGAAGCATCATGTTAACATCAAACATTTTCATGAACTACTAGACAGAAAGCTAAAGATTGCAACACGAACAAAAACGTAACAAAAAAAAAACAAAAAAAGAACGGGTTAAACCATGACACTCCGGAAGATTATAATGGTCTGCTCCACTGGTGACAGCTGTCATTTTAACTGTCTCACAAAAAATTAATAGTCGTTGATACATACAAGATCTCATTTAATATCGGATTGATGATGTCTCGAATCCTAGGTAAAACATCGGTACACATAAGCAAACAAAGCTAACCCCACATAAATTTTGAAATGACAATACGAAATATTTTCATTACAAAGAGAACACATGACAAAAATTAAAAAAATAGAACACCACAGACCAAAACATTCCTTAAACGCAATGGTGGTTTGACTTTAGGTTTAAATTTTAGGTTAACTCAGGTATCTATACTCCTTATATCTAAGCAAACGGTACAATCTAACTTAAAGTATTTTTTTTCATTTGACAAGATCGTCTTGAATATGCATGAATGACACACTTCCCCTGATCGTCCAGGAAACAACTATAAGTCTTTTGGAAAATTCATTTGCTTCATTTCTATTGTTAGTGGAACGTGTTATGAGAGAATGTGTCTATAGACACGTTTAAGCTCTGTTTTTAAAACTACATCTAATGTATACCTACCCGTATGAAAATTAAGAAAAGCTGCAGCTTCCCCTTCAGCTAACACAAACATATCACAATCATCAAAATAGGCAACTGTTTCACTTCTTTGGGACAGTTTTATTTCAAACAGTCTGGGACTGTACTTCATATGGTTTAAGGCATACGATTCACTCAATAAAGGTTCCGATGACAACTTGTATGTGTTAAAACATTTTAAAAATATATTCCGCATCATCTGTAAAATATAAAGAATATACATGATCATGATGGTAGAAATCTTATCACTTTACATTCATTTTTATGCACAATGTCGGGTCAAAACATTGTGTGTGCAACGTAGGATGTGTACGTGAAAATTTCGCTTGACAATTACCCTTCAATTAAAAAAAAGAACAAAAAAGAAAGCGCTATCGTATTTCAATGAAATATTCAAACAAATATATACTTTATAGTTCTACTAAGTACACTTACTTCAACTATACTATAGGACTACTAACAAATCATGTCAAGTCTGGTTCACATTTGCAAAGTGGTTTCATAGAAGTTGCTAGAGTAAAATTTTACGGACGAAAGACAATGCTTGATGGTGAGTAAAAATACAGGTTCATTAGGTCAGTTAATAATAGAATAAAATATGCAAAGTAATTATTAATTAACAGTTACTGCATTATATTAAGGAATTTCTTTGAAAGTGTTAATGAAACCAATGTCTACTTGAAACGGAATTGCCATTTATGAATATCTGGAATTTCTTACAATATCTCGTCTAATTTAAATACGACAAAGTCTGTTTTCAAACCAAAATCCAAAAAATAAATCTTAATTTTCTTAGATATATCACAAAACTTAATAAAGCTGACTATGAGCTTTCGCATGATTAACTATAAATTGATTGTTCTAACGTTCAATTATTCTGTTTTGCTTTTTATGATATCTGTTATTATGTCAATAACTTGGTAGATTGTTTCTGACATCTTACAACGATAAAGTCTAGGCGCCGAAATAAATACTATAATCCCAACCCCGGAACTTTTCCTCGTTATGACAGGAACAATTTAATGAAAAAGTATTATGTTTGACAATCTCTAAAGAAGGAGACAATCAGAATATATAAATTGATCCCACTTAACTTTATATGAATAGAGAAAAAAGTAGAGCAAACAGCTGGTTACACCAAACAACCAGTATTATCGTGGCTGAGATTTTCATACTTTATCAAAACAGTTCGACTCAAATATAGTCCCATAATCTGTCCTAACACTCATCTGATGTTAACAGCAGTTTTATGGATATCAGTTTAGGGTGTCTACATGACTAAATATTTGTGTGACTAGGATTTCAAAAAGGAAATACGGATAATAATGCTAAATTAAGTTCTTGAGAATTAAAACATTTCAATAATTTTTAGAGCTTTCAAGAATCAGTATCTGTTGTAAACCATTAATGAAGAAAACAATAACACGTTATTTGAGAATGCCTTTGGATTGCACAGCCAAATATTATTAAAAACATAAATAAAAATATAGGTTTACATTAGATATTAAATTATTTGTCATAAAGTGTCATATTTATGTCCCCCCCCCCCCCCCCCCTTCACCAACACCTATGAAACGAACAAATATTGATATACTGAGATAAAGACACATGTCATATATATGCGCTTTATCTGGATAAGTATGCGCTTTATCTGGATAGGAAACTTAATTGATGTATTGTTCAACTTACAGCTCTGTCTAATATCGTACGTAACGCTTTTACGACAGGTAAATCACATTTTGCTATTGCTAAGGAAATAAATCTATGTTTGCTATTTCCAAATATTTTTAAACTAAATCCAGGCGTCCCATTTGCTTCAGGGGCGCTTCCTCCATATGCTGACAAATCAAAGTTTAAATTATGAACACGTATTTCCGGAGTAGGAATTTCTCGTAAATCTGCTCTTTCAACGGCTGCAACGGTTCCAAATGCACCACAGGAGTATTGCTCACTGAAGTCATTCAGTCCAAGAATTCTTTGTGCCTGGCCATTTCGTCCATCGGATGTTATAACAAGACATCTTCCTTGTATACTTTCTATATCTTTCAATGTCTCTCGACAGAACTACAATTAAAAAAGCAATAATGTTATAACTAGACATCTTCCTTGTATACTTTCTATATCTTTCAATGTCTCTCGACAGAACTACAATTAAAATGCAATAATGTTATAACTAGACATCTTCCTTGTATACTTTCTATATCTTTTAATGTCTCTCGACAGAACTACAATTAAAATGCAATAATGTTATAACTAGACATCTTCCTTGTATACTTTCTATATCTTTCAATGTCTCTCGACAGAACTACAATTAAAATGCAATAATGTTATAACTAGACATCTTCCTTGTATACTTTCTATATCTTTCAATGTCTCTCGACAGAACTAGAATTAAAAAAGCAATAATGTTATAACTAGACATCTTCCTTGTATGCTTTCTATATCTTTCAATGTCTCACGACAGAACTACAATTAAAAAAGCAAAGAATAAATGTAAAGCATTATATGAATGCTGTCTCACGAGAAAGTAAAATAAAATTCAAAGGCATTCAAAAGATGAAATAACAAGAATGTGTCCATAGTACACGGATGCCCCACTCGCACTATCATTTTCTATGTTCAGTGGACCGTGAAATTGGGGTCAAAACTCTAATTTGGCATTAGAATTAGAAAGATCATATCATAGGGAACATGTGTACTAAGTTTCCAGTTGATTGGACGAACGAAAGCACAGACCAGAAAACATAATGCTATCGTAGGCGGGGTATAAAAACAGATATTTAGTGCAATGTATATCTTAAGGAAGCTATTAAACCAAGAGTTCCAAATGGTGAAGTTGAAATCATTCCTTCGTAAATTTTACGGACGCCATCACGAGTTGGTTGACCGTTATGGAATAACCGTTTCACAGATGATATCGGATATGTTCATTATGTCGTAACTACAATACCCTTCCCTTTTCACGAATGTGACCTACCGAATTAGACTATTTACCGGATTTGTAATAACATAAGCAACACGACGGGTGCCACGTGTGGAGCAGGATCTGTTTACTCTTCCGGAGCACATGAGATCACCCCAGTTTTTGGTGGGGTTCGTGTTGCTTAGTCTTAAGTTTTCTATGTTGTGTCATCTGTACTATTATTTGTCTGTTTGTCTCTTTGTTTTTGGCCATGGCGTTGTCAGTTTGTTTTCGATCTATGAGTTTGACTGTCCCTCTGGTATCTTTCGTCCCTCTTTTTTAATTCCTAGAAGGTTAAGGCGGTCCAATGTCGATAAACGACGTTTCAACATAATAACAAACAATTTTACCAACTGATTTGAAACTATAAAACACATATGTTGTTTCATAATTCAGTCGGTTATAAAAAGTCAATAAATGTTAAAACAATATTGAGCGAACGCACACACAAAGATAAGACCTAAGTTCGGCTTATTGACTAACTATGAGATGATGTAATTTTGTATATTACCTACCACATGTATACATAATACGAGTGCAGAATTTTACAGTGTTTAGACATTGTTGTATCAGTTCAAATATAATTATATATATCTACGCAGATAAGGGAAAAAATATAAAAGTCTAAAGATTTGCGTAACGAAACTAATATAAGATGGTAATATACGAAGAGGATTTTATCAAATATAAATCGTTATAAACAGACCAACAAACAACGATGTATACCAACAGCGAACATTTAACCCTTAAACCTTTTGTGCAATACAATCTCCCATCAAAATAGGAAAGGACATCATATGCACTTTTTTTCTGATCGGATTTTGACTTTTTCAGTTAGGGTAATACTTTTACTGCAATCATTGTATGATGAAACAAAGATGCAACAAACATCGATTTGAACAAATACGTATCAATCAACTGAATCTACATGACAACGTATTACAAAAGTTCATAAGCATGAATTATTGGGGGTTTCTGAAATCGCTATGAAAAAGATATCTATAATGGCTTTTATGACAGCAATCTGTTATGTTCACAGATTCTAAACATCTAATGACTTGTGATTATATTTTTATCATGTCAACCGTAAGGCTTTAGTCTGAGCAACTCCTTAAAATTGGCATGAAATGACATAATGAACAAAAGCTCTGTTATTACTTGATGAAAATTATGACTTTATGAAGACGTGTTAAATTCGAACCAGAAAACAAAGTTCAAGTATGAGAAATGTCAAGCCAAACCATGGACCTATATTTCCTTCAATATAACTAAGAATAGCTTAAAATTCAAATAAAAAATGTACCTAAACAACCTACATGTATAATACAACCTAATGTTTTATATCTACTCTTAATATACTTTCTGTAGCATCGCATGTACAAATGTGTGCAGCTTCAGCGGCAAATTGTCTGTTTATTTACATAAAAACAGTAATCTTTAGCAAAAAGCATTTCTCCATTTCCCTTGAGATATTTCCTAATAGTCTTTTGATTGGATTGTTATTTATTTTCCGTCTTGTAAACATAATACCATCAAATATAAGTTTTGCAAACATTGATGATGTCAATGTTTATTGAACGAATACAACATTAATTGAAAACAAATGTATTGTTTGTTTTTTACATCATAGTATCTTGACTTCATTATTTAATCTGATTCAATCTGTTAATTACATCAAAGTTAAGAAACACAAAACGGAATTACGATTTTACCGAAAATTTATCGTTAAAGATGTACCCATAACGACGGCAGAAGTATTTATTGGAGTAAACAAACAAAAAACTTCAGGTGCAAGTAAAAACAGATCTAAATATTATTATATATTTCCTACACATTGTGAATTAACAGGAGAAAAGTTTAACATTTTCAGGCCAAGAAAGAAAAAAATGTTAAGTAGATAAGAGACGTAATGGATGTTATTAAAATGGTTTTATTCCAGGAACATTCGGCACGTTAATCGAAGGAAGAAAGGCAATATTTATGTCAAGCATTTTTATTTCCACATCAATTTTCAACTGGTGTTTCATTAATGAAAATGTTTACATAATTATTTCAAGATGATAGGATTTTTTTCATTGGAGTAATTCTAATAGCATCTCTATCATGTTAACGACTTTCGAAGGCGAACAATAAAAATAAATACGACTTACGGTGTTCCAATGAATACAGAGTAAACAAAAACACAGTTCATAGGAAATTGACGCCACCTGGGACACTAAGTTTAAATATCACTAGTAACACGACGGTTGCCAGAGGTTGCTTACCCTTCAAAAGCACACTTTGGATCAACTCCAGTTTTGGTGGTGTTCGTGTTGCCTAGTCTTTATTATTTTGTGTACTGTTTTGTGAACCGATTGTCATTTTGTCTTTTTTTCGCAATGGCGTTGTCATTTCTCTCCACTTAATAATTTTGAATGTCCCCTAGGTATCGGCCGCCCCTTTTCTAGTCTTTCTGTTACTTTTTGATATTTGACATTTGCCTTTGGAATTACATAGGATTTACATGTAAAAACCAGTATGCTTTGATTTCAAATTCATGTTATCATCTTGATCTTCGTTTCCGGAATTAAATACAGGATTAAAGTTCACCATCAAAAATCATTTCCCCTTCATGTGATTGTAATCGTCTACCTCATAACATCATATTAAAACAAGCTCCAAGGACACCTCACTGCAAATCAGTTTAGAGAAAACCCAAATGAAAGAATCGACATTAGTGTGTTGCCTCCCAGTGCGTTACAAAGAAACACAGTCAAACAATGGCGTTACTATACCACAAATGAAGTGTTTTTTTTGTCAAAGAAAAACACATTTTCATTGAACATGAGATGTTTCAGATTAATACAAAATAACTAACAAATATAAAATCTAAGCCACCATACTACAATGGTTTATTAAGTCGGTAACTGGACAAATTAAAACAACTATCATTTCAGTTAAATCTTCATATCTTTTCCACAAAAAAAAATATCAACATAAAAAATTGTGAGCTCAAAAACAAATTTAAATGGTCCTAGAAGAACAGTCAAATTATTCTAAGATTGACTACTAGTAATATCTAATTATACTAAGATTGACTACTAGTAATATCTAATTATCCTAAGATTGACTACTAGTAATATCTAATTATCCTAAGATTGACTACTAGTAATATCTAATTATCCTAAGATTGACTACTAGTAATATCTAATTATCCTAAGATTGACTACTAGTAATATCTAATTATTTAGCCCCTGCTTCGGAGAGCCGTATCGGCCCATGAAATTTTCTTAGCGAGGTAGAAGGCGGACAAAAAGTTTAGCTCCTGCTTCGGAGAGCCGTATCGGCCTATGAATTTTTCTTAGCGAGGTAGAAGGCGGACAACCTAAGATTGACTACTAGTAATATCTAATTATCCTAAGATTGACTACTAGTAATATCTAATTATCCTAAGATTGACTACTAGTAATATCTAATTATTTAGCCCCTGCTTCGGAGAGCCGTATCGGCCCATGAAATTTTCTTAGCGAGGTAGAAGGCGGACAAAAAATTTAGCTCCTGCTTCGGAGAGCCGTATCGGCCTATGAATTTTTCTTAGCGAGGTAGAAGGCGGACAACCTAAGATTGACTACTAGTAATATCTAATTATCCTAGGATTGACTCTTAGTAATATCTTATTATCCTAAGATGACTACTAGTAATATCTAATTATCCTAAGATTGACTACTAGTAATATTTAATTATCCTAAGATTGACTACTAGTAATATCTAATTCATTTGTCCAATAACCAATATATGCAGTTGTTCTTATGGTGTGTTATCAGAAAGGTTAGGAGCACAAACATAACATGTTTTACCCCGTCACATTTTCTATGCGTCTGTTAAAAGTCAGATATCATGTAGATGTCGTTGGTTGTTGCCTGCTATAATTGTTTTTTTTTCTTTTATTGTTTTAATATAAATCAAGCAATTAGTTTTCTATTTTGAGTTGTTTCAGATATTGCCAACCCGGTGCCTTTTATGCGTTACTATACGAAATCAGTTTTTCTCATTGATTAAGGCTGTACTTTATAATCATAGTTTTGTTCATGGTTTTAGGCTGTACGATATCATTCTTGCTCAT